CTAAATGGGAGGCTGAGCAAACAATCACTTGAGCCCAGGAGCTTCGAGATTGCAATGAGGCTATGATGCCCCATCACTGTCATTCCAGCCTTGGGCAACAGGCAAGACCCGGTCTCCTTAAAAAAGAAAAAAAGAAGAAAAAAGCAGATTTCCGCTTCAAAGAATAGCGGTAGAGCCTGAGATTGCATTTCTACAAACTCTCAGGATGATGCAACGACTGCTGGGTGCCACAAGCACCTTTTGCCTATCAAAGACCGTATCCTGGACTCGGAGGTGGATCGTTCACGCCATGAAGAAAAGACATGATATGTTAAGATTGCCTGCCTGACTTTGCCCTGGCGTGCGTGGCTTAGACGCCTGTAATCCCAGCACTTTGAGGGAGGTTGAGGGCGGTAGATCACCTGGAGGTCAGGAGTTCGCAGGACCAGCCCTGACCAACATGGTGAAACCTCGTCGTCTTACTAAAAAAATTTAAAAAATTAGCCGGGCGGATGCTGGCACATGCCTGTTAATCCCAGCATACTCAGGGAGGCGCAGGCAGGAGACTCTCTTGAACCCGGGAGGCGGAGGTGCGTGCAGCAAGATCGCACCTGTGCACTCCAGCCTTAGTTGACAGAGTGAGATCCGTCCCAAAAAAAGATTGGCCTGACTTTCATTTCTTAAAATCACAAATACATCCAATTTATGCTAAGTATATGCCTGAGGTATGATTCCAATTCCTGAAAAATAAGGGTAAAATCATTACAGCAAGTAGAAACTAGAAAACAAATGAGTATTAGAAGAGGAATACACAGGGGAAGGAAGGGAATTTGGGCGTTGGTTGATTTGTTAATTGAAAGTCAGGCACAATCTTTTTTTTTGGAGAGGAGCTTCTCACTCTGATCACTTAGGGCTGGAGTGCCACAGGCTGCCGATCTTGGCTCACTGCAACTCCGGCCTCCGGCGTTTAAAGAGAGGTCTCCTGCCTCAGCCTCCTGAGTAGCTGGGGATACAGGCATGTGGCCACCATGCCCGGGGCTAATTTTTTAATTTTTTAGTAGAGACGAGGTTTGCACCATGTTGGTTCAGCTGGGGCGCTCGAACTTCGCTGAGCCTAGGGATCGACCCGGCCTCAGCCTCCCAAAAGTGGGAGTGACAGCGGAAGCACCCCACGCCCCAGCGAAGTCAGGCCCACGAATTCTTAAACGAATCATGTCTTTTCTCATTGCGTGGAACGACCGGAGTCCAGGGAGTAGTCTGTTTGATGAGCAGAAAGGTGGCCTTGTGCCCCACCAGACGATCGGGTGGCATCATCGGAGAGTTTGTGTAGAAATTGCCAGGATCTCGAGGCGTGTGCTACCCATTCTGAACGGAAATCTGGCTTTTTTTTTCGGCTGGGGTGGTTCTGTTTTGAAGGGGAGAGCATGGGTCGTGTGGAGGGCCTGCTTGCCCAGGCTGGATGCAGCTGAGGCAGATCAAGAGCCTGTGCAAATCGCGAACTTCTGGGCTCAAGTTGGATTGTTGCGTGCCTGCAGGCCGGCCCAATATAGGGATAGTAGGCATGTGCCATCACACCTGGCTAATGTTTTGTTAGAGTTGTGTGTGTAGAGACGAGTTCAGTCTGTTGCGCCCCCCCCCCCGTACTGATATTTGGCTTTTGGCTCAAGAATCGCTCCTGCCCTCAGCTCAAAAGGCCACGGGAGAGTATTGAGGTGCTGAGGCCAGCCAGTGGTTTGGCCCCCAAATCGGTGCTTTGGAACAAGATGAGGCAAGTGAGTTCTATGCAGCAGGTAATGTGTGGGTTGTTGGTGTTTGGTGGGTGTGTTTGTGTGTGTTTTTTGGTGTTTGTGTTTGGTGTTTGGGGAAGCTAATGTTCTAAGGTGTTACAAAGTAAGGATATTTTCGTAGGATGTTAGTGTACAGGACAACAAAAAATAACTTCTTTTTGTTTTTTGAGAAGGAGTTTTGCTCTTGTTGCTCAGGCTGGAGGTGCAATTGGCACAATCTCAGCTGACTGCAACTCCCCATCCTGGGTTCAACGCAATTCTTTGCACCTAAGCCTCCTGAGTAGCCGGGATTTACAGATGCCGCCACTGACACCCAGGATTTTTGTATTTTTAGTAGAGATGAGTTTTGCGAACTGGTAGTGGGTCAGCTGGTCTCGAACGTCCTTTTTGACCTGGATATTCCACGTGCCTCGGCTTTCTCAAGAGCGATGGACAGGGGTGTGGGAGTCATCAGCCCAGCCCAGAAAAAGCACTTCTAAAAAGGAACGTAGGGGGAGAAAACAAACACCCTCACCATTAAATTTCAAAGATGAGGCATCAGAGTTGCCTGTGAGTTCTTCTTCCGTAGAGCTAGCTAGGACTATAGGCATGTGCCATCACACCTGGCTAATTTTTAAATTTTTTTTTGTAGAGACAGGGTTTCAGTCTGTTGCCCAGACT